AAGATGAATACAAGTTAACACTGATTTTCAGTCCTAACAAACTCTTGAGTAAATATATCTTCTCTCTCTAAGGTATGTATACTTATCTCTTTTCAAAACATAAAACTATCACTGAATCTTTCCATATTCAGTGATCAAAATGTTTTAAAAGGTTGTTTCAGTGTTTCTTCTATCATTTAATCTATTAAGCAAGTATATCTCTCTACGATATACTTATCTTTTCTTAAAACAAAAACCATCACTGAACCTTTTTTCAAAAAGTGATCAACATTTTAAAAGTTAAAATTTCTTCAGTGATTCTTCTTATCACTTAACCTTTTTAAACTTATCTTTAAAAATATATAGTCTCAAATACATATCCTTCAGTATATGTTTTTTAATAACTTAAACTTTTTGTTTAAAAGAAAATGGAAAATTAAACGTCTTATGACATCACTTTGTTTTAAATGATACGATTTTTTGAGACACGCGTACCGTTCTAACACATGCGACCCCTCGTAATTCCATCCAATCGTGGATGAGGACATGCTAACTTTTTCATCATTGCACAACTTTTAGATCGTATTTTCCTCTATTCTCTTTCTTTTTCTCTCTCCTTTTACCTATAAATATGAAACCTCTCTTCTCATTTTACCTTACGCTTACAAAAACTCTTGTCGAACCTCTGCCTCTAAGACATTTGTAAGCAAGAACTTAAAGAACTCTCAAAACCATCAACTTTTTTCTTCTAAAATTCACAAGTTGATAACTCTTTTTTTATATGTTCTTCTTCTAAGAAGCTTATGTTATGTTATTTAAGAACTTGTTCTCTTAAACAACTAACATACAGATTATTAACACATTCTTATACTCGGTTATCATCTAAAGTTTCTATACACTTATTCTTCTTGAAAACCCCTAAATCTTCTTGTGGATTTTTCAAAAGAAGTTTTATCGATTCAAAAGTTAGAGTTTATAATTGTATCTTGGATTTCTAACAAACTTGTTATCTTCTGTTTTCTCTTATATATTACGAAGATGTCTGCCAAGAACGTAAACTTCTCTATTGACGAAGTTGTTTTCAAGCCCAACAACCATGTGGCGATTCTAGACATTCTTGCCTATAAATCACACTATGAGGATGCTGCTAGATTTCTTTTGAACTCTCCTTCACCTTTAAAAGAATGACCGTCAGTTTTGGTGTAGCCACACTAAGGATCGCTCTCCAATTACAAAAAGGTCCTTATGCCAATGAACCTAATACTAAGGATATCATCTCTTACTTAGATGAGAAGAATTGCATGTCAGCGGTATGGAAATATTTGTTTTTGCATTACATTCAATGTATAAGAGGAAAAATTGGTGGATAATACCAAACGTCCAAAGTTACATTGAACATTGACATTTCTATCAATCACCAGAGACCAATCAACTTTGCTGGCGTTCTCTTTGGAGACCTGGTGATGAAACTAAACAAGCGCCAAAGAGAAAAAGTGGTGCCTTACACCAGAATTCTGTCTATGGTGTTTCCTAAGAACTTTAGCCACAAGTACTCCACGGAAGGCAACCTAGCTATCTCTAGGCTTGGATCCACAATTTTGGATCATAATCATAAATCTGAAGAAGTTACCCTTTCCTCTCTTCTAGACACCTCGGGCAGCACACATTGCAGTACTTCTTCATCTTCTGCATGTACTTTTTTATCTTCTCCAACTGTGACAGTATGTCTTTCTTCCCTTGCTCCGGTGGTCAAGACTAAGGCAAACCCCCCTCAGTCTATCCAAACCACCACCACCCTATCGTCTAAAATATCCTCCTCTCAAACCACTTTTGCTTCTCCTTCAAGGGCCAAGAAAGTCAAAAAGGGGATACCCACATCCCTGGCTGTTACCTTTAAAAAAAACCCAGTCATTGAAACAAGCCTTACCCCAGAGACAACTTCTGTTATAATCCCTTTTAGATCTTCAGTTATTTCTTTAGTCTCTATCGTACATGTGGCTCCTCTCCCAACCGCCTTACTGACACAAATCACTGAAGGTGTGAATATCATCATAGCCACTGTGGAACACCCACTTCCATCACTCTCAACCAACTTCTCTTTTCCTCTTTCGTTGGTCTCGATACATGATGGTGATTCATAAGTGGTTGTCCTCACTGATGATGAAACAATCACCACATGACCTAAGGTTGCTCTTCTAGAGATACCTCAGTCAACGGAAGCCTATCCTCTCGAAGGCAACCAGAAGAGAACCAGCATCATTCCTTCAAATGGTGCTAATGACCCCTCAGGTACTCTACCAACCTACCCCTTTATTTCTTCTAACCTTGAGCTATCTTATACTCAAAACGATTCTTTTTTAGTTCCTTGCTATTAAGGATTGCCATCCACGGAAATAGAATACCACATGGCTGATGATGTCAAGCTGCTTCTCTCAGCAATAGAGACAATCTTAATCAAAATGGACCAAGTCCATAAAGACATGCCTCTCAGGGATGACCGTTCCCCTGACCTCTCAGGTGCAAGCCTATATATGCACGAACATTGAGGCTTTCTCTTCTCTCAACAGCAAAGCCAACGAATTGCAGATTCTTCCTACCAAGCATGGTGAGATGGTGCAACATATATTGGATCTTCTTCAACGTCCAGTTCGTGCACCCTCTTTCACAGCTGAGGATCGCCTACCGCTGGATCAAGTGCTCAAACTTGGTCTTCTTCAATCTTAATCTCTGGCTAAGCTTGAACAACGAATGGATATTGCTGCTATAAGTATTCATGATCTTATCTCTCGTCAATCTGATGACAAAGAGTGGGAGAAAGACTTAGCTGATGTTGATGCTGAAGTTGAAAGAGCTGAATCAAATGGAACTGATGCCATCACTTCCCATGAAGCTGAAGCTATTGCTGAAGCTGAGGAAATTGATGATGCCATCAAAGCTGATGCTCAAGATGAAGACCGTCCTATCACCTCTAAAGATGATGGTGGTGATAAAGGAGATGAAGATGATGATGAAGAAGATGATGAGTAGACATCTTTCCATGGACTCGGTGGGTAATAGAGTCAACTAGTTGGCTCCGTACCTTACTACACTCAAGAAAGGGTATGGTTTTGTCCTTTTTATGTGGAAAGACAAGACAAAATCAACATTACACAATAAGCTCCATTTGATCGCTGAATGCCTCTTCAGCATTCGTTGAGGCTTAGAAAGTCTTTACACATATGTTGACCAGGCTGTAATCATTGAATGCCACTTCAGATCACGAACGCGCTAGTCACTAATCTTCAGTTTTAGTCTTCGACTTTTGCTGATGGTTCTTTGGTGTGAGTTTTGTCATCTTGAAGTATCGTTGTCGTTGTAGAATTTACAATACATGTTTCAGCGATCACAGAACAATCAATAAGAGAGAGGATCAACAATCCCCCCTATTTGATGATAACAAAGCAACATAAAAAAAGTTGCCTTATCAAATAACTAGGAGGAAAAGTTACATATAAAGTAAATGTTCCTTTTAACTATTTTGGGATCTTTTTCAGTGAGTCAGTTTTTACTTAATAAATTTTCTTAAGTTACAAGTTTAAGAAAAAGTACAAGAAGGGAAACTAAAAATGAAAGCATGTTCACTGACTTATAGATTTCCAATGACTGTAAGAGAACACTGGAACTCATAGACATGTGTCCCTATTACTCTTTTCAATGATCTTTTTCAGTGATGCAAAAGAAATACTTATATTATTTCAAACGAAAGATTACAAGTTTTTCATTACATTTCTTAGACTTACAACATATAAGTTGAATACTAAAAGTAGACATAGAAATAAAAGATATACAGTGAATGGACAAATTCCAAAATAGAAATAACTAATCTAAGTTGCTCAGGTCCAAAACTTCACCATATATGCCATCATCTAGCCAGAATCTGATGTTGCGAGATATTCCATTGGGCATAGATGTAACTCAGACATTCTTTGAAAGCTGGCTTCACTTTCATAGTCAAGGAAGATGAATCCTAACTCAGGCTTCATGTGTATAGTGTTGGGTATGTAAGGACCCTTCGCTGGCAATGACAGGTTCAACATAGAAATGTCTGGCTTCTTCGAACGCTTCAAGACTTCATCCAAGGAGAACTTTATTTCATGTTCATTCCTCAAGGTTGGTCCGTCATTAGGACTTGAAGATCTTTTTTTTCTTCCACCTTTCTTCAGAGTAGGCTTTTCAAGGACCGCGACATACTAGGACATCTTCTTGATTAGGTCACTGATGATGTCTTCGATAATCGGCTTATATCTTAACTTTCAGCACTGAATGTCTTGGTGAATCTCTAGCCATTTATTGTAGCCATACTCTCCGAGGTAGGAAGGGTACTCTGTGACAGTGTCAAGGTTATCCCTGGTGATGAACATCGAGGTCATAACTGGATCATCTTTTGTCCGTCCACTGATGGTGACGTTTGAAATTGGGTGAGGACTGATCCTCTCGTGTAAACGTTCTTTGCTCCATTTTCTGTCATGCTCAGCCAGCTTCAGGATTTTTTCGCATTCAATTTCTGCAATAGAAAGTAGCTTAGCCTAGGTCTACACAACATTCACCATATTTTTAGATTTCTTCCTTGGAAGAACTCCGACAGCAAGAGACTTAGCCAGCTTTAAGCTGTCCTCAGTCTGTTGTCATTGAATTTTGAGTTCTTCATCAGCCATGAGTGCCTTCAGTCTTTCAGCTTATGTTAAAAAGTCAAACTCACCACAATTAGAGGTAGGAAGAGGGATTTTTACTTTAGTTTGGTCAAGCGACTCCTTCAGCTGAGACATCTGCTGGTCGATGAAAGTATTGGGGGTTGGGTTTTCAGGGACCCATTCCTCCAACCGACCGTAGGTAGTGGAAGGGATGGAGAGTTGATACATTGACGTGATGGTGGTGAAACTAAAGGAATCTTTAGATCAAGGCTCTAAGGGTTGGAACAGTACCTTAAGGTTGCCTTCTTTAGCAACACCCTTGTCTTTTGACTTGTTGTTCTGGTTCTTTTCTTAAATCTCTTTCTCTTTCTCCCCTTGCTCCCCTTGGGATGTAGAATCCTTGAGGGCGACGCCTTTCGTAGCATCGTCAGGTCTCTGGTAATGAATGGTGAACTCGTCATCATCGTCGTCATCATCATCATCCAGATCTTCACCACCGTCTTCATCATCGTCTTCCATATCACTAGCATTAGCTACAGAGGTGATTGGAAGCTCCTCGTCATGAGCTTCAGTGCCAGCTCGGACGGCATCAACATTCTCAACTATAAGAGCTTCAAAATAAGTTGGGTTTTCATCAGCAACTTCAGCTTCAGGATGAGCGTCAGCCTCAGCTTCAGGATGAGCATCAGCCTCAGCTTCAGTCACTAAAACAGCAGGTTCAGCAGCAACAACAACATTTAAAGAAGCAGCTCCAGACTCTGTCGCCTCCTTTTTGTCAATGGATTTTGAGCAATAGCCAAATACATGGTCAACAGTACGATTCTGAAGTGCCATCATCTCGTTTAGTTTGGTCATAGCCTTGATCATCTGTTCCAGCTGCTCGCGGTTTTCAGCATTTTACGAAAGTTCAGGTGCTAGACTTGCTTGTTGGAGAGCAGCCAAACTTTGCTGCATCAGCTCTATGTGCTTGGCAAGATCAGAGTTCACTTCATCGGTCTTGCTTGTTAAAGCGGCGATGGCCTCAGGGTTGGCTTGCACAACCTCTTGCATTGTAGAGAGCTGGTCTTGACCTCTTGTACTTCAACTCGAAGAGCTGAGAGGTCAGCAGATACTTCATCCCTTTGAGGCATGCCCTTATGGACTTCGTCCATTTTGATGAAGACAATCGTGACGGTAGGGAGGAGTAGCTTGATGTCATCAGCCATGTTCAACTCTTCTTCCATGGTTGGCATCTCTACAAAATGACCTGAAAAGTCACAAGGTTGAGCATAAGAGGGCTCGGTGTTAGTAGAAATGAAAGGGTAGGAAGATGGATTACCTGAGGGTTCATCAGTGTTATCTGAAGTATTAACGTTGGTTCGCTCCACATAGCCTTTGAGAGGATAGTCGATGGTTTACTGAGATGCCTCGAGAGGAGCAATCTCAGGTCCAGTGGTGGGTGTTTCATCATCAGGGAGGACAGTCGCTGATGAGTCATAAACACGTGTAGAGACCAATGATAGAGTAGAAGAGAAAATGGTTGAGATTGATGGACGATAGTGTTCAACAATAGCGATGATACTCTCACGTTCAGTGATTTGGGTCACTGAGGCGATTGGGATAGGAGCCACGGGTACGATAGTGATTTCTAATATCACTGAAGAGTTGGGAAGGTTAGCTGAAAGTCCCTCGGGGGTAAGGCGAGTTGCAATAGCTGAGAAGTTCTCATTGAAGAAAAGTTATGAGAAATTTCCTTGTCCTCGAAGAAGTTATTCGTAGTACTGTTTTTGAATTCAGTTCCATGGTCATCTCTAATATATCGTACCTTATTATTATTATTAAGTACTTCAATCTTCTTGATGAACGATATTATTTCTTCTGGTGCTTTCCTTTTGGATTTGAGAAAGAAGACCCAAGTGTACCTGGAGTACTCATCAAAGATGACAAGTGTATACTTCCTTACAGCAATAGATTGCACGTTCACTGGACCAAAGAGATCCATGTGTAGTAGTTTAAGAGGTAATGTCACTCAAGAGATTTGCTTTGACTTGAAGCTAGCTCTTATTTGTTTTCCTTTCTCACATGCTGAGCAAATAGATTCCTTTGCAAAGGAGTGTTGAGGAAGACTAGTGACGAGATCGTATCTAGACAACTCGCTGAGTATTTTGAAGTTAAGGTGAGAAATTTGTTTGTGCCATATCCAGTTGATATCCAACGAAGCTTTAGAGAGGAAACAGTTATTCTCAGTGAGAGAAGAATCCATGTTGATGATGGACATTCTCTATACGAGAACCGGTTAGAGAAACCTTGTCATCCTTGTCATAGACGTAGCATGAATTCTTAGAGAACTTCAATGTGTAATATTTATCACACAGTTGACTGATGTTGAGTATATTGTGCTTCAGTCCTTCAATGTATGCAACACACCTGAATATGGTTGCGCCATTGGTTAATACACCAAAACCATTGGTATATCCTTTTCCGTTCCCTTTAAAGGTCACGGAAGGGACTCTTTCTTCCTTGTAGTTGATAAAAAGTGATTTGTCTCCGGTCATGTGTCTTGAGCATCCACTATCGAGATACCATATGCCTTTGACTTCCTACATAAGGGAACAGTTTAAAAATTCTTTGGTAACCATTCTATTTGGGTCTAGTAATGTTAGAGGCAATATCCACTGAAACTGAAGAACTAGTGTCAACAGAAGGCTTCACTGCACCTGAAGAGGAGGCTTTAGTGGGATAAGGAACAACCTCTGATGCTAGAGAGATAGAGTCAGTGGGTATCTTCACTGAGCCTGAGGAAGAGGCTTCAGTGGTAGGAACAACAACACCTGGCACTAAAGGCTTAGTAATGAATCTCAGTAAGAGAAGACTGAGAGGAATAAGTGTCATGAATAGAAGAGACAGAGGTACCAAACTTGAGCTTGGACCTGTCAGTGACACTATCTTCCTAATCATAAGAAAAGCCTAGACCAGTCTTTATCTTGGCAAGGATCTGAGCATTAATGATCTCAGAGGCTTTGACAAAGGTTTTGCACCATCCTTCAATGCTAGCCTTTTCAGCCCTGAGTTCAGCAATTGCTTGCTCACGCTCAGCAATAGCCTGTTCACACCTTCTAGAAAGAGGGACATCTGATTCTTCCAAGGACTAAAGTTATCTCTAATAAACCGGGGAGGTTTGGCAAGGGAGCTATTGTCGTGAATTTTTGTGCTCATTTGTTGTAAAGTCATTTGAATGCAGTAAAATTATCTAAAAAGAGAGATAAAATAATTGTTAAGATTGAATTTTACAGTTAAATTGTATTCGTCTTGAAAGATTAATACTTTTATTTTAGATTGCTTTGAGTTTGTAAGTATTGTTGACTTTGACGAGAGGTTTTATGTTTGACCTATTAATAGATTTATCTTCTAGTGAAAGAGTAGAGGAGCTTAATTGTAATCATACGTATACTTTGAGAGATATATAGAGTTTGACTGTTTTACTTTTCCTCTCTATTGTGTCCTTAATGTTCTTGATGCTCTAATATGAAGATTGCCATAGACTCATCATGATATATGAAGATTGATTCTATTGTGGGACTCACAATTGGTATCAGAGCCAAATCCAGTGAAATCGATTGAAGAAAATCTCGAATTTTGAAGAATTTCTGGAAAATTCATATTCTCTTCATCTTGTATTCTTATAGTGTTCTGAATTTTTTTCAAGACTTTAATTCGTAAATATTTCAAATTTTCGTGTTTTGATGTTAAAAACATGATCAATGTGTGCGTAATAGATACGTGAATCTTTGTTATTAACAAAATTTCGTGATTTGATCGCTCGTTTTCAAGATTTGTTGATTTTAATGATTTTTGAAAAGTTTTGATGTTCTTAAAATTCCATGAAAAAGTCAGGTTTTGATTCAAATTTTTGTGAAAAAGATGGTGTTTTTTTTTGTTTTTGACATTGTTTAGTCGGATTCTTGGTCGTTTAGCAAATTTTTTTGAAGCTCAAATCGCCTATTGTCTTGACCGTAATAGGCTTAAATCGTGCAAAACTTGATAGATTTCGCCTTGGCCGGATTAGAGACTTAGCCAAATTTGAAGCCTAAATCGCACACAAGCTTAGTTGGATTCAAGTTTACCTTGCTCAAAGGGTGACCGATTTAGGCCAACCTCGCTCACTTACCTTGTCCGATTTAAGCCTTAATCTCATAAAGGTGTGTCCGGATTTGTATTAACTCGGACAAAGGAATACCCGATTTTGATCTACATCGTATAAAGGTGTGTCCGGACTTGGGTGTTTCTCGAACAACATAGCCAAGATCATACTTCCTCGCATACTACTCTAACTGGATTAGGCTTACCACGCTCAACAATCTTTCCTCGAAAGCAGCCTTGTCCGGATTTAGCCATCCTCAATCAAAGGCTTATCCGGATTCAAGGGTTCCTCGTGCAACAGGTTATACAGATTATTTGATTCCTCAGCCAAGCTACTTGTTTTTCCCGTGAACAAGCTCACACGATTTAAGCCAACCACTCCTACCCTATTGTCCGATTTTGTCAACTCTTAGCCAAATTTTCATTTTGTCCGATTTTTTGAGCATACTTTGACAACATTTGATTTTTTCAAAACACATTTTATCCAGCTTTGATTTTTTCATTTTTATCTGTTTTATCTGATGTTCAAAAAATTATCTGTTTTCATTATAGTTTCTGATTTTTGAGAACTTTTGCTGTTTTTGAGCTATTTTTGAACAGTTTTGAACTAATTTTCACAGTTTTTGACTGTTTTTAACAGTTTTGACTATTTTTACTTATTTTTAACTATTTTCACTGATTTTGTCATATCTAAACAGTTTTTCTGAGATTTTTCACATTTACTGATTTTATCTGAGGGATATCTTTTGATTGTGATTTATGTGTCTGAATTCTATAATGCATAGATTCTTCTGATCAATTGTTAAATTTTTTAAATGGCAAGATTTTACGAGAGAGAATACAGGGAACTCAAAGAGAAATTTGATAAACAGACTTCAGAGAATGAAAAGAACATTTCATGGGCTATTCGTCTATCTGATTACAATGAAAAAAGGAGGAAGAGAAGAAGATTTTGCAAGAAAAGTTGAATGAATTCATGAATAATGCGCCTGATTCACAAGTAAATGTAAGACTTAACAAACAGATTGAAGAACTAATTGCAAAATTACATTCTAAAAAAATAGATTCAGCTAAAGAATTAAAAGTTTGGAGTAAATCAAATAAAGGTATGTTTAATAAACTCCAAGAAGTTCAAAGTGATCTGAATGCTAAGAGGAAATCTTTAGAAAAGATAAATAATGAGACTGAAGAGCTTACAGAGAAATTTCATAAATCTGAGATTGAACTGATTGAGGTAAAGAAGTTACTGAAACAAGAGAAGGATAAAGTCTTAGAAGCAGGGAAGAGTTTAAATGCTGAAAGGATAAATTTTTAGAATGAGAAGAAGAGGATGATTGAAGTGGAGAAACGGTTTGATACCGAACGTATATCTTTTGAGAACAAGATTAACTCATTGGAACTGAATGCTGAAATAAATTAAAGAAGAATATATGAGCAATTATCTTGAATTGTCTGAATGCATTGCTCAAAAGTAGAGAGCACTGGAAGAAGAAAGGAAATTGTTTGCTCTTGAAAAGAGAAACAATGCTATGAAATATGCAGCAATTGCCAAAGAGCTTGCAGAAAAGAAGAAATGGCTCGACATTGCTTCTGAGAATGAAAAGAGCAGCTCAGATGAAGAGAGACATGAGTTTGATAAAGAAAGGAAAATGTTTGAGAAGCTGAAGAAGGAATTAGAAGGTAAACTTTTGGATATTTCAAAGAAATTGTCAAAT